TTTATGACAAAGACTTAACAAAGTTATTATGGCAGCTAGCCGAGACTGAGTGAGTGAGTGAGCGAGTGAGTGAGTGTGTGAGTGAGTGAGTGAGGCGCGAATGATTATTAAGTACAACATGCTCGGCAAGGACAGCAGCCACACAGCCACTTAGCCTGTCATTATGTGGGACACTCGGCAGTCTGTGAGGACGGGGTATAACAATTCTGACAATTCGGACACGCGTAATGCCTTTAAGTATGCACATATATATATATATAGACATTTATATATGGACAAAGCAGTTGGACATTGAGGTCATTCGGCTAAATGGCAGCTGGGGCTCATGTCAACTTGTGTATATCATAAATATTGGCCGATTGTCCAGAAGCACTCTTTCATTACTGTTAATAGAGCATTCATAATTCGTTGCGCCTGGCCTGGCGGAATGTTATCTACTTCATTATGCTCGCATATTATGCGCGTGTGTGTGCTCGCTACATACATATATGACACAATTACTTAGCACACGTCACAGATTTTCACTTTTGTTAATGCCACCCACGGCGACCCACGGCGACCCACACAGAGACACGCTCACACACACACACACGCGCAGACATGTGTGCGCCATTCATGCATTTGCATTGTTTTATTTTTAATATAAAATTTGCATTGTTTTTGTTGCGCATTGCTGTGGAATGTGGGTCAAGAGCATTGAATGCCACACAGAAGTGCCAACACATGACCAAGAGCCGTTGGTTTTGTTGCAGCCACGCTTGCAACCCGTAAGCACTCTCAATAATACCAATAATCATCGTAGCCAAGGACAGCGGCATGTGCAAAAAAATGGAGAGCAAATCGCACACACGTCGTATGATTGATTGCTTTTGTGCATTGGGCAGTCTGTGATGAAATCTCAAAAAAAAAAGGTCAGAAAAGCTACGAAGGCTTTTTGATGCGCCATCAACAAGCCGGAGAGCCAGAATATGACTACGATAGAGTCAAATGGAGGCAGACGTATTATTTTGATGAATAGTTGAGCATTGCAGAATGGGAGAAAATGCGGCTTACCTGCCTGCCCAATCAGCTAATTGAGTTCGTGAAGGTAAATCAATAATGTGCATACTCCAGAGACACAAAGTTGGACTCATTCTAAAACTTTGCTCTGGGCAGGGCCATCAAATGTTTATTGATGTGGACTTTTACTGCTGGCAGTCTGGCATAGTTTTAATTGACAGTCGTTTCCAAGTGCCAGTGGAGATGACGGCAAGTCTTGAGCTCTGGTGATAGTCACTCAATCAGCCTCAGACAGCGTTTGGCTAGCGAGCGTTGCTCATGCAAATCTCTGGTCAAACATCAAATTTGCAGTTTCGCCTTTGTTTCTCCCTCTCTCTCACTCTCACTCTCCCGCTCTCAGGTACGCAAACTCAATTGATATGCAGCTTGAGCAGAGGCGACAGCACACACATGTGCATGCTCAGATTTAAGACAGTGTTCAACACTGGCTAGGGCCGTGTCCTGTGACAGGACACGCTCGGTACGTGCGCAAATACCAAAAATGTGTGTGTGTGTGTGTGTGTGTGTGACAGTCGCGCAGATACATCCATAGTCGAATCCCTTGCCATAGCGTCACAGGCACGAAAAGGGCTAATTTCAGTACTTGAAAACTATTCTGACTTCGTTTCGCCCAGCTGAAAGTGAGATAAAGCCGGAATAAAAAGAATCTAGTTAAAACTTGGCAAATACGTAACTTTTTTTATAAAATAATTTGAAGATAACACCTCAGAGCATACGTGGGCTTAAGTTATGCAGAACAGCAACAGTGGTAGAGGCAGCGCCAGTGGCAGCAGCAGTGGCAGCAGCAGCAGCAGTGGCAGTGGCAGAGGCAGCGGCAGTGGCAACTGCACGAATGTCATGCATATTCAGAAGCTGAAGCACATGAGCTGCTGCCCCTCCGCCTGCCGCTGGCCTGTAAATGATGTCACAGCTGCGGCCCTTCGGCTTGGCTGGCTATTTGCACGTCTTGGGCTTATTTTAAATATTTTATAAATAAACACAAACGCAGCACAACCTGACGCGGCACGTGACTCTGGAGCCGGGCACGTGGCCAGCACTGCGTATGCGTAATTCTACAACATTTACGGCCCGTGCTGTCATGACTCAGCCACAATTAGCAGCAGTCGCTCCTTAACGCATTAGTGTTAGCCAGAAATGAAAGTCCAGTAGCCAATTTAGTTTTTGCGCTTAATTGCGTTTAACGTTGTCATGTGCGAGTCCTTGAGTCCTTGAGCGGCAGCCAGAGGAGCTTCGAAAATTCAGCACTTTTTTTCTCGAAATCCCAACGAGCAGCAGCTAAATGTAATCAAAACATTTTAAATGAGAATTTTGTAATATTTGCATAAACTCAAGAAGCTACAAAGAGAAAGTAATGGAAATAAGCTAGAGATTGCAGGCGAAGGCAGCTCTGGACCTGGGCAGGCGTTACTTGCAGCTAAGAAATGATTACAGTCATGAGCAGGACAAGATGAATTTTGCATGAGCGCTAAATCATTTTGTAGTAAACGAAATGAATGCAAATCTGACGCGACACGAATGTCTCTCTGGGCTGCAGGAAAAATTTAAAAGAAAAAAAAAAAAAAAAATAGAAATGCTGTACATACGGATGGAACAACGGAATGAAATTTATTTTGCTGCTGCAGCTGACAGTTGGAACACAAAGCGTGCCTGGGAATTATTTTACAAAGGAATTATTTTATAAATTTATGTGTATGCAATTTATTGTAGTTAAATATGAAATAATGCTATTGGCAAGGCCCAAATTGCGCTTGGCTTAAAATGTTGGCTGAAGAACTGAAAGAGATTTTTAGATTGAACTTAGGCAGGAGTGTATACAAAATTCAAATTCAAGCAATTTCGATTTTTAATGGGCATTCGTTAGTTGTTTCCATTTAAAAGGTTGGAGGTTAAACGATGGCTTCAGCAGGACAAGAATTAAGAGTCAACCTCAGACAGGAATTGGTCAGCGAAGCATAGTTCATGCAAATCTCAGGCCAAACATCAGATTTACCATTTATCTCTCTCTCTCTCTCTCTCTCTCTCTATCTCTTTCTCTGTGGCCAAAGCCATTTCTCAGCAAGCATTGCTCATGCAAATCTGAGGCCAAACATTAAATATGCAGTTTCATTTCTCTCTCCCTCTCTCTTACACTCTCTCTCTTTCTCACTCTCCCTGCAATCATTGCAATTGCTCAGCGAACATTTTTCATGCTAATCTCTGACTAAAAATCATTGTTCTCTCTCGCTCGCACTCTTCTTCAGTCTCTCTTTGGCCTTACATATAAGATCCAGCCGTTCCAAGCACAAACACAATATATATTGCGCAACCAAAATCAAATTCAAGCATTTCTATAAAATATAAACAATTTTAATTTTCTAGTGGAAATACCAAGATTTAACTCATGTAAGCAAAAACAAAATAAATTGTCAAAGACAAAAACCAAAATTAGATTATTTTATCAACTACGATTAAAGGCTTTATTTTGCGAGCTCATTCGAGAGACGTTAATTCACATATATAAAATATTAAATCTCACATAAATGATTTTGCACTTTAGCAATTCACAATGCATTTTGCATTTGTCTATCACAGTTGCCCTTAGGTGACTCGAGTAAATCTGCTGTCAGACTTAAGACTTGATTTGAGCAGCTTTTGGCCAAGTAAAGAATCGCCTAACTGCCATCAACTGCTGCTCCTGCGCAGCCAATTAGCTCATATTAAATCGCATCACACGTAACCCACGGCTGCCTCGCCTGGTGAGCTGCAGTTGGGCAACTCGACACAGTTAATTGCTAATTAGCCCGGGGCGTCGTTGCGCAAATGAATAAGCTCATTTGGCAGCGCTGCATCCGTCAGGCATCTTTATCAAATAAAAAATATAGTAAAGCACGTAAACTGACTCCGACCGAGCCCGCAACCACATTCACACGCAGAGCCCTGCAAATGCAGAGCTTAATTTGCTGTCCGACTTTTTTTTTTTTGCATTAAATATGCAATCAACATGCGACGGAGTGCACAACTTTCACTCTCGTCCCTTTGGGGACAGCGTCGACGCGAACACATTGCGTATACGTAATGCGATTAGCCTGACCGCGCTTACAGCCATGGCAGCCATATCTCTGTCTAGTTCTGAATAGCGCTTAGGGAGCTGTTCGCTTTGATTGCGTGCTTCTTCTTCTCTTTTTGCGTGTGTTTATGTATTTGGGAATATTCGAAATTTATGACCAGCGTGGACCAGAGGGGAATTGGATACGCAGCATCATTTGTTTGTATTTGTGCTTGCCCCCTAAAATTCTGACAAATGACAATTTGACATAGGTTTGTCCGATATTAAGTTAAGCTAGATGAACTGGGTGTCAAATGCAATTTCAATGGGATTTGAATTTGGTTGAATTTACTATGGCAGTTTTGATTCAAGCGAACTGATATGAGATAAGAGGACAAGCTTAAAAAAAAAAGAAACATCAGTATTACAGCAGGTCAATGAAAAGACGAGGAAAAAAAAAAATTGAGAAGGAAGAAGCTGAAGAAGCTAAATAATTAACTATAAGTAAGTATAGCTACATAAAATCTGAATAAAAATTACTGCAAATGGAAAAAAAAAACATCTGCGAAACTTTTCAAACAGACCTCGCATGCTTAGCTATTAAAACTATAATAAATAGCCACTAGTTCATGTTTGGCGCCACCACATTACCAGCACTTAATTAAAACTAGTTGAAATTGTTTGAGTTTAGCGCAAAGTTTCAATTGGGGCAGAGCAGCAAATACTAATTTAGTACTTAGGGTGGTCAAGGGAAAGCACTCAGGGGCGGGGCAAAACTTTTCAATTAAGCGCTGGCCAAGTGGCCACTTGGCTGTCAGCACAATGAGAAGCAAAGAAATACAACTAACGTAAAATTTCGACTCTGCTCTGATCCCTCTCTCTCTCTCTCTCTCTCTCTCTCTCTCTCTCGCTCTAGAGCTGTGCCATGCTGCGCTGAAGATTCAGTCCACTTTCCGTGGCCATCTGGCACGCAAGCTGGTCAACAAGGATGTGCCGGAGGACGAGGACATACAGGAGATAACCAAGAAGGTGGCCGAGGAGCTGGACATTGATCTAACCGATCCGGAACTAAACAAGGCCGCCACCAAAATCCAAGCATCGTTCCGCGGCCACAAGATCCGCAGGGAAACCAATCCCGAATAAGCTGGCCAATGCGCAGACTTTTCAATTTGTTGGTGTCGGCTGACCACAGAGCAGTCTACAAATATTAAAAACATAAAAAAAATTGATTAAACAAACAGAAAACAAGAAACAAAAATTGGTAAAATGTAACTGTGCAAAGTGTTTGATGAAGCCTGCACTCTTGTAAACTTTTAGAAAATATGTTAATTAATTAATTAATAATATGAATAATTCATTATTTTATAAGCAATAATTAAATTGATTGAAAGTTTTGAGTTCTTCATTTCTACTACTAAATGAAATCTGTCAGAGAATCAATCGATTTATTCTATAAGCTAGTTGGATTTGTTGTATGGAAGGATTTGCTAGAGATCAATTAGAATATGTATAACTATACATATATGTATCTCTATATGAATTCCATTCGTAAATGATGTGTAAAGCCGACCCGAGCCAATTATTAGCTTATAACTGAAGCCTATAATGGAAACTTCCTTGTTTAGTAATTTCCATCATTAAATAAATATTTCAAAAATTAAAAAATGCATAGCTTTTTGCCTAAAAAAAAAAAAATATTTATAATTTGCCAAATAAAACATTTAAAATCATAAAAAAAAAAAAAGTATTGTTTAAACTCTGCTTAAGTAAATCCAAATAAACAAAAGGCAAAGGCGAATCAGTTTTTAAAAATTAATTTGCAAAGCATTAAAAAAAAAAAAAACAAAAAAATATTATGAACAAAAAAAAAAAATGGCACGATGTTCCAAAATTTATTGTAGGGCAAAACAATGAAGACAAACCCAAGGAAAATGCTGAAACATTTTTGAAATTTAAACGGTTTGTCTGGCCAAAGCCAAAACCAAAAACCAAATGCAATGTATTGTTGTACCTACATAAGGATAAACTAAAAAAAAAGAAGTAAAAAAAATATTAAAGTAATATAAAAAATATATAAACATAATTTGTAACTGACACTCGATGTTAATAAATTGAAACAAGCCCGCAAGGCACATTAGGGGTACTCTAGCGACAGCAGCTACGAAACGTCAACAAATTTTTTCAGCGAGCTACTTAAAAACTGAACAACAAGAACTCAAAACTAATCTGGTGGCACAATTTTTTGTTTTTCTACCAAGTGTACTACAAGTTTGTCTACTTCAAAACAAATATATATATTATCAAACAACAAATATTTATATATAAACATACGTACGAGTATTATAGAGAATTGAAAGAAAAAAAACAAAAACCAAAATTAAAACAACATTTAAAACCAACTAAAAACTAATTCAAATGCTGTCGAAATTGCAGCAAAGAAAAAAAAAAAAAAAAAAAAAAAAAAATAAATAAATAAATAAATAAACAAAGACAAAAAAACAAACTACAAATAAATGTTTAAAATTCAAATTAATTACTACTAAAAAAATAAATAAATAAAGAAGAGCATTAAATTATATTAGAGATCAAAAAAAAAATTCTACTAAAAGTGCATAACACACAGCTACATTAAACCAAAGTAAATAGTTGTAAGAGACTAAAACTTATTGATGAGCATAAATCCAGAAGGCATATACATATATACATCCAAACAATTAAAAACAGCAAATGGAAAACATACAACAAAATGTCCCAACTAAATTTTAATTGAGTAATAAAAATAAATAAAACTTCAGAAAATGCAACAAAAATTGTGAACATTTTTTTTATTCAACTGAAGGAAGATCTATTTCTCTTTTTCCTTGCCGCTCTCTCACAGTCCACAAGCAATTGCACTTTGCTGCTTGATTGAGCATTATATATTTAGTTCACTGTAACAGAGCTACTTGTCAGACATCTCGGATTTTCACAGGCAACGTTTGAAAGTGATTTGTCCTCCTGCTGCTGCTGCTGCTGCTACTGATGTAGCTGCTGCTGTTGCTCCTCCTCCTGCTGCTGCTATTCAAGGTCTTTTTGCTGCAGTTGACATTTGCTTTTGATGCATCTACTCCTGCTAAGGCTTGTGGTTTATAAATAAGAAAATTAACAAATCAGTTTGGAAATGTTCTCTCAGCTCAGCTCAGCTCAGCTCGTTGAGTGCTATAAATATGCAAAAGTTGCTCGTTGATTTCAGTTGGAATGGGGCGAGAAGGGCCATCATCAGCGTTGGTAATTTTATTGATGGCACAAAAGACACAGCTCGACGCTGCCAAGTGGGTTGCAGCACTGCCAGCAGCAGCAGCAGGAGTAACAGGAGTAACAACAGCAGCAGCAACAGCAACAGCCAGATGAAAGTTGTGCAGGTAGCGAGTGCAGGCTGGACAAGGATAGACAAACAAGCTGCGAGGCGAACTTCACGGACACTGTTGCCACGAGGTCCTTTTACAACAATAGAGCACGTCGGCTGCTGCTGCCGCTTCCACTCATGCTGATGATGATGATGATGATGATGGAGATGATGCTGATGGAAGGTAAAGTATGAGACAGCATAATGAGTATGACAGCTTTTTTTTCAAAAAAGAGAGAAAGCGCTGAGCAGCTGTGAGCACACAAAATGCAGGCAAGTCAAACACTTGAGACGTCAAAGTTAAAGTGCTTTAAAATTTTTTTTTTTGACAAACAAATGAAAATTGTTCTCATATTATATATATATTTTTTTTATATATATTTAAGTTGCTTTCACTTGGGCAACAAAATGTGCATATCCACGACAACAGCAACAATAAAGTTTACAAAATGCACAAATCCGCGGGGAGCGCATCAAAATTGGACGAGTGCCACATGACGTAGGTGTGACTGCCAAATTGAACTTGCCACAGTCGACAGTCGACAGTGGCGTCGGCGAGGGGGGGAGGGGGCCCAGGGGCAGGTGCAATTTACATGCCATTGCAATTGCATGTCAATTTGAGCTCCCAACACTCCTCTTTATGCACCAGAGGACAGACGAAAGCGTTTGGTATTCAGTAAACCTGTTCTCTTTTTTCTTCTCTTTGTTTTTTTACTGACTTTTTCACGGCTCACAAATATTTCAACGGTAAATTTATGCGCTTCCGTCTCCACGCGAAAAGACAAAAAAGAGGGGGGAGAGAAAAACGAATTGTAAGCTATCTGGCTGTGTATATGGCTTGCTCGTGTGCAGCATGGCGTATGCGCAATTTATGAGGCTCTAAAAACAAAGCGTTGTATAAGTGCTCGGGGCATAAACAAAAGCCGGCAACTAAGTGAGCAATGCGTCTGTCTACCCAGCAGCGATCACAACTAGCAAGCACATTGAACGAAATGGCAATAGTAAAAGGAAAGTAATTGGAGTCCTTAAAAGTACATCAAATGATTGTGTTTACAATTGAATTAGTTATAGGAATTTTTCGTTGATGATTAAATTTGAGAATAGTTGATAGTAGGGTAAAGGATTGTTGAACAGCAAATTTAAATCAAATTATTATTATTTAGTAAAGTTTGAGAGGTAATATTAGGAACTTAACAGATGCATCAAGAGCAGATATATATCTAATAAGTTTATTACAATTGCAATTTCACCTCGATTTCCTATTCAGCATTTCGTTTTATTAGACATTAGAGTTAATAAAAACTCTCTCTCTCTCTTAGAACTCAGCACTGGCTTTTGGGGCCTTTGGGCTCTCTCTCTCTCTCTTTGTTTCCTTTTCAACACTTGAAAAGCTATTTAAGCTCTCTCTCTCTCTTGTGTGGAATTGCATACAGTCATTTATCGTTCCCCCTCTCTCTCTCTCTCTCTCTCTCTCTCTCTCGCTCTAGAAGCTGCACTCAACATTTATCGCACATTTGCAGTGGCAGCAAATGCAGCACACGTCAACTTTCAATTTCTAAAAAAAAACCCTTTAAGTGGAATGGGGACAGAGCGGAAGGCGAATGAAATCCGTGCCAAAGAAGCAACAGCATCCAATCAAAAGGGCCGCATGCTGGCTGCTGCTTTTCACACCTTTTGTGTGGATAGCAACCGCAAAATATGCCAGCAGAGCACACACACATAAGAGTATATTCGTTTAACTGTAACCGTTGCACTTAAGCGCATTAAAATGCCAACTGCAACTGCCATGAGAAATGGCTAAACTGCAGTCCCCAAAATCAGTTTCCACTCAGTCAGAGATATGGAAACTAGCCGAGTTCGCTCTGCTCTAAAGTGTTAGCGGATTTTTAGCTAAAAGCATTTTGGAGAACACGCTCAAGTGTAATGCAGTGCAATTCGAACGCTCGCTGCAATTGCCATTCGACTTCATTTGTTTTAGCCCCTCCATGGTCGACAGCTGTCCTTTAGCTGTCTTTCTGGCCATTCCGCCTGTCGCAGTTCACTTGACACCAACTCGCTAGCGGCGAGCGTGGCGAGCATGGCGTATACGTAATTTGTTGGACAACTGCCACCAGGGCACTTCCTCTCGTAAACAATTTGCCTCCTGCTACGCGCACCAGTTTGTTCATTACGCTGCCTGCCTGCCTGACTGTCTGACTGTCCGCCTCGTCTGACAACTGTGCCTGGAGCTAAATTATATAAGCATGGGAATATATTTTCCAGTTCAGTTTTATCTATACTCTGTACAAAATATATACTTTTCATTAGTTGCCAAGCAATTGTTTTTATCCCCAAGCAGAAATCAATTTTATTTTCCTGCCTTTGCAGACTCTGTGAGCAAAACTGAATAAGTCACAAATTATAGAAAATATTTATCTGTTTGCTATTTTTTGTTTCAGTTAGTTTATTGATATTCCACGTCTGAAGAACAGCCATACTTTGATCAACCTTTATGGGTACTAACACGTGGTACTATTTTTACACATTTGTTGGTCGCCAAGTCCAGATACTGCATATCAGGGCAATTTTTTTCGAAGACAAGTTGTGGTTTATTCACACGATGGTTACAGCCCGTTTCCGGACATTTCACACAGGTCATTAGTTCCTGCTGCCAGACGTGACCATCAGCGCAGTTAGGTTTTATAAGTATAGTGGGTGGCAAATTACCTATTCTGCCCAAGTTGAGATACGGATAAGGCTCTACGCATCTCTTAATAACGGGGTCGTAACCCCAAGTATCTGTTTCACGATCAACGATTAGCGAAATGATGTTGTTTGTGTTTTGCTATGGACAACAACAATTTCTACTCACAATAGCACTTTATTCGTGGTGACGCCAGACTAAGCAGCAGAAGCAACCAAGGGATGACATGAAGTAGATGGCGCATTTTGTACTAGTCAATCAAGCCAAGCAAAGTTGAATATAAATATAATAAATAAAACCAATTCCTTACAGCTATGGATACTTGTTTAGCCATTTCTTATGCATATTTACGCCAAGCGTAAAGTAATTCATGCGTATTGATTTATATTGTCATTGCCTTGAAAAAAAAAAAAAAAAAAAAAAACAAGAAGGCTCCAGTCGAGACTGCTCGACTAGGAGATACCCTGTACCCTCCAAGCTGATATTCTACTCATTCTGCACTTCTTTTATGCACACATACATACACATGCATCCATACATACTTATAATCACGCGCTCTGCTATTTGCGCAGTAAGCAGCGACTGCGCAGCAAGAATTGAATGAGAATTTACTTGTTGAATAATTTCTCTTGTAGTAAGACTATCTTTATGAAACTTTCAGATTTGTGATTATATAATTTAAATGTGTGTACATTCCAAAGCACAAGTCTCTAGTACTTTTTTACAAATTGGTGGCGAAGGGGAGGTCGTATCCAAAATCTATAAAATACAAAATTTTCGTATTCATCATATGTGTAAACACAGTAAATCTGAAGTATCATGGTCTAAATGTGTTCAAAATAGGCTGCAAAAAACCAAATTAATTTTTCGATTACTCTTGATAAAAAATTATCGGACGAGTTACCGAAATAATATGATAAACTTGTACTAAATTTGGTACACACGAGTATGCATACCAAATTTTAGCTCTGTAGCTCTTTACATACATACTTCTCACAAAACCATTATACCCCGATTTCCCATTTTCAATGTCCGTCTGTCCGTATGCATGAACGCGTCGACTTCAGAAGATATAAGAGCTAGAAACTTCGATTTTTTTTAATGCCCGTATGTAGAGCGCATATACAGCGATATTAAGTTTATCCAAAATCGATAACTCATTCCGTTATTTGTATCGATAAAAACCTTATCGAAACCCAGTTATAAAATTATATCTCCTACACACTTTACGCTAGAGTCTCAAAATTTTAAATTTATACTTATAAGCATTTTATACAATTTATGTTTTTGTTAAAATTTACGCCCCAGCCCTACATCCTATATTGTGCTTTGGCAAATACATGCATATCCATGCTATAATCATAATCTGAACGTTTCATGATCGTATGTCCACAAGAAAAGTTATTAAACAATTAAGTTCTCATAGCAAGCGCACACTGCAGCCCATGCGTGTTTAGCCGTGGGAGCTTGTGTGCGTGTATGTGTGTGTGTATGTGTGTGTATATGTATGTACGCGTGTGTCTTGTGTAAGCAGAAAGACGCTAAAAATGATTGAAATAGCTATTGCTCGAAGGGTTCAGGGGATCTCGTAGTCGAGCAGTCTCGACTAGAGACTTGTTTTTCAGTTAGTTTATTGATATTCTACGTTTGAAAAACAACCATACTTTGATCAAATTTTATAGGTAATAACAGGTGGTACTAAGTTTACACATTTTTTGGTCGCCAAGTTCAGATACTGCATATTAGGGCAATGTTTTTCGAAGACGAGTTGTGGTTTATTCACACGATGGTTACAGCCCGTTTCCGGACATTTCACACATGTCATTAGTTCCTGCTGCCAGATGTGACCCTCAGCACAGTTAGGTATTATAAGGATACTGGATTGCAAGTCATCTGCTCTAGGTGTGGTGGGAATAGGCCCATTAGGCTTTACACATTTTTTAATAACGGGGTCGTAAACCCAAGTATCTGTTTCACGATCAACGATTAACGAAATGATGTTATTTGTGTTTTGCTATGGACAACAACAATTTCTACTCACGATGGCATTTTCTTCTACGTGGTGACGCCAGACTAAGAGACAGCAGACTAAGAGGCAGCAGAAACAACCAAGGGATGACTTGAAGTAGTTGACGCATTTTGTACTAGTCAATCAAGCCAAGTAGTAAGCAACGTTAAATATACAATCCCATTCGTTACAGCTATGGATACTTATTAAGCCATTTCTTATGCATATTTACGACAAGTGTAAAGTAATTCATGCGTATTGATTTATATTATTCATTGTATTTTATTCATTGCATTAGAAATAAAAAACAAAACAAATTTATAAATGTATTTGTATATCACAATGAATATGTATTCCTTTTTTTGAATATTGTTGATTTTGTTTTTTATTAACTATTTAATCGAATAATTATTTGTAAATAAATTTAAATTTTATATTTCTTGACATAATTTTAAATATTCCAATATTTTAATAT